TACTAGATAGTTTTCTAATATCTAGTAACTAGATCTTAATTAGCTTTATATACTTCTTTTTACTCTTTTATATATTATATATAGCCTGCTTAGCTGCCTACTCTGTGTATAATAACGCTACTAACTTTACCCTCTCTATACGCTGCTAGGACTAGCCTTTACATAGTATATCTACCTACTACGCTATTACTTTAATTTTTTAGTATATTACAGTTGCTAGAAATCTCTAATTTTTTTTCTATAAGCTAAACAATACTGCCTCTTTCTATCTCTAGCCTTAGATTTTCCTAATCTGTTATACTAAAGAAGAAATATAATACTACTAAAGCATACCTCTACCTAGAGAATAGGCCTATTACTAACTCTAGCTCTTCTGCACACAATACTACTGCCTACTACTAGGAGTTAAATAGAATAGAAAGCTTACTACCTAGGTAATAATAGCTTCTACCTACTATATACTTTAGCCTATATAATAGAGCTAGTTGTAGTAGAGGCCCTCTAGTAGCTCTTAGATGTAGACTTCTAATATTCTAGGCTATTACTGTATAAGGAGCCCTACTATACTAGTTCCTAGAATAGCGCCTAGCCTCTACTAATAGTCCCTATACTTTACAGAGTTAAATATAGAGTTAAAGATCTAGACTATACTCTAGTCTCTTACTACTATAACTATATATTACTTACTAACTTTTACTTCTTCTACTCTCTCTATACTAGGCATTAATATAGCAGCTACAGCGTTAGTAAGGTAGGAGGTAACTAGGCTAACTATTTTTACTATTACCTTTTACTCTCTCTAGGTACCTACTAACGTTACGCTAGCTGCCTACTCTATACGCTCTACCTTAAATAGGCCTATAGTATTAGTATATAACCTCTTTTACTTACTACTATAGTAGGTAAGAATAGCTAGGTTAATTATAATAGAGTTACTAGCTGCTACTTATACCTAGACTTAATTACCTACCTATTCTATAAGTTTTAAAAACCTAGTCTATAGGTTAAAGTTAAAAGAGGCTAGAAGTAGAGAGATATTATAGGTACTCTTAAAAGCCTAGGTATCTATAATAGGCCCTATATAAAGAGGAGTGCTTATACTTACTCTTAACTAGCTATTACTATAGTAGAACGCTAGATAGAAGGTAGCTCTTAGAGAGAAGAAGAAAGTAGTATAGTTATACTCTCTAGAAGCCCTATACCTAAGACACTATAAATAAATAATATCCTAGACAATACTAAAAAAATAGTTTATAATTAGATTATAATGTATAGTAACATACTAGATATCTTACTTAGAATATTATAGAATTATACTAAGTAAAATAAGGCTGTATATAGTATATACAGTATATTTAGAAATGTAACACGCTAGATATAAAAATATAATATACTAGATATAAAAGTGCTAGGTAGCTAATACGCCTCTATAAATATAAGAGTCTACTCTATAGATCTTAACCTCTATTACTAGTAGAGAAACTAGAGTAATAGGCTAAGTAGTATAGAGTAGAGTTCCTTACAGCTACCTATACCCTTCTACGCTTTATCCTTTATATCTAATAGGTTAGAGTTTAGAGTAGCTAGTGCTATATAGTCTTCCTAAAGCTATATACCTATTATCTCTAAGGCCTCTACGTGCTTTAGCTATTGCCTATATATAAAGAGGATATGCTTAATAGTAGAAGTAAGGTCTATATAGCCTCTTCTCTTCTTAGCTACCTATTTCTTATATATAGGTAGATTTAGATAGGCCTAGAGAAAGGTAAAAAAGGCGCTGTATTCTTTCTCTAGAAGTGCTCTATCTAGCTCTATTTACTCTACTCTCTTGCGTAGCTAGTTATTATATAGTATAATATTAACTATGCTAGGATCTATAGTAGGGTAGATAAACTAGGTTTATTCTAGTATAGAGAGCTACTTAGACTGCCCTTACTCCTTTATAGGTAGGTTATAGAGTAGGGTTAGCTTATTAAAGTTATACTGTATAGTAATAAATATAAGCTTAGAAGCCTAGGAGCAGAAGAAGGCCTTAAACTTAGAGAGTTAGCTAGGCTCTAGTTTATAGTTTCTAAACTAGTATCTAATAATCTACTAGAAACTAACGTAGAGTAAGTAAAAGAAGAGGCCTTTTACGTACTAAAACTAGCTAGGCTCCTAGATAAAAAGAGAGCAGATATAGTCCTGCTATAGGCTAGAGCTATACTAGAAGAACTGCTAAGCCTTACCTATTTATAACTAAACAGCTACTATACACATTAGCAATATAGAAGTAAAGATAGAGGTAATCTAGCTATAGCCTAGGTAGATAAATCTATTTACTAGGTTCTTACTACCTCTAGTGCAGGTAATAAAGCTTTTAAAGTTACTAGGGAAAAAGCATAGCAAGGCTAACCTAGAGGTAATATAAACGTAGTTCTCCTATTACTCCTATAAGACTATCTATATCTACTAGTTATATTTCTTAACGTAGGCTTCTGTAGTAGCTTAGTAGATCTTATACTATAGAAAGGTATTGCGTAGGTTACTCTTCTAGGTAAAACTATTAATATACTAGCCTAGTGCCTAGAGTTAGAGGTTAAAGTTAGAGCTAGCCTTAAAGGAAATATTCTTCTATTAAAATATATCTTATAGGCTAGTATTGCTAACAGCTAGTAGCTGCTATAGGTATAAGTAGATCTATAGTAGGCTAGTCTAGCTAGTAAGAAGTAGCCTATAGCTAGAGGTACTGTAGAGTAGTAGCTATATTATACTACACTGCTTAATAACCTACTTTATATTAAGGCCTTCCTTAAGCTTCTTAGTATCTTAGCTACTAAACTACCCTTACTGCCTCTTCTTCTTCCTCTACTTTCTAGGAATACCCTACTATATACTTCTATTTATAGTGTAGTATTCTAGACTAGTGTTAAGAAGATATAGTATAGCTAAGGTAAGAGTACTATGTTAGTTCTTATCTACGTCTAGTATACTAGACGCCTTAGAGCCTAGCGTATACTTAGTAGTAACCTTAATAATAGACTCTAGGTAAGCTAGCTAGTAGTTTATATCTACTATCTAGAAGTAATTAAGCTCCTCTATATTAAGAATCTAGAAGAGAAGGTAGGTTATTAGTATTAGGTCTTTCTTTTCTGCTATGCCTTACTTACTCCTACGCTAGTCTTCTAGCCTAGCCTCTCTCTACTCTTACTCTATATCTACTTCTTAGTGTAGGCCTAGGCTGTCTAAGAGCACTGCTAGTAGCGCTATACTATAGATATAGGCTGTAAATAACTTATAAGTAATACAGTACTCTTTCTATACGCTATAAGAGCACCTAGCTTAGCTAGATCTAAAGAGTATACTCTAGACCTAGCACTTTATACTTTTATATATAGATACTAGGCGCTAGAGGCTTACTCTATCTATATAGTTCCTCTCTATCCTCTGTTAATACTACTCTTACAGCCTAGAGTTAAGAAGGCTAAGTCCTTCTAGAGCCTATTTTCTAAAGGAGAGGTAGTTCTTAATAGGTACTATAAACTGCTCCTTATTAATATTATAGGCCTTAATATCTACTATCTTACTAGTATATAAGTTAGACTGCTTATATAGCTTAATAGTAAGAGTACCTATATTCTACAACTCTCCTATAGGATAGGTAGTAGTATAGTTCTTAGGCTACTCTAGCTTCTATAGGCTATCTCTAACCTACTTATAGAGATAGGCTAGCTTTCTTAAGATAGTGTAGCTAAGCTAGCTAGCAATTACCTCTTAAGCAAAATCTACCTAGTAGTAGCGCTAATCTACGTAGCCTAGGCGCTCTATATAGAATATAGTGTTTATTATCTAGTTAAATGCGTAGAAGGTCTGTAGCTGTAATACAGAGTAGGTACCTTAAAGCTTAATATTATAGGCCTAGATAATAAGCTACAGCTTATAAAAGACGTTCTCCTAGCTATTATAGGTACCTATAATAGTAGAGTAGCGCTGCTAAATATTTACCTAGAGCCTATCTAGGTCCTTCTCTATAATTAGGTTAGCTAATATAATACTAGTAGTATTACCTACCTCTTACTCTATCTCTGCCTTAATGTGTACTCTTACGCGTACGTTTTAGAAGTTAGTAGAATAGTACTACGTAATATTTATTCTTACCTCTTTATATAGGGCTAGATAGATAGCCTAGTTAAATAGTCTTTCTAGTAACTTATTATCTAGGTAGCTAACAGCGTCTTAGTAGCTCTTACTCTTAATAAATAGGTAGTAGGAAAAGAATAGGTAAGTAGTAAAGTTATAGCTAGCTAAAAAGACACTGTATCTAAGCGTAATATACTTTATATAGTATATAGAGGCCTTCTAGTTAGCTATCTTTACCTTTTAATCTTACTAGATAGACTATAGGTAGTTTAGATACTAATATATATAAAAAGCTGTCTAGTAGATAGTAAGGCTTCTTATTCTAAAGGTTACACTATCTATATTAAACTACTACTTAAGAGCACCTCTCTGTACTATAAGTTACTAAGAAGCCTAGGACACCTACTCTAACTTCTCTAGGCTTAGTTTTAGTAGTACCTGTCTAGAGCTAAGTATCCTATAGCTAGTAAGCAGCTTATCTTACTAGATCTACTTAAAGAGCTAGAAAGGTAAAGACTAGCTTAATTACATAGTTTTATTAAATAGAGAGAATCTAGCTAGAGTAGCTATAGGTATATTGTTCTTATCTTTTAGCTCTACTAGGATTAGGCTTTTAATCTACTTACTAACCTATACTAGTGTCTATACTCCTAGTGCGTTAGTAGCAATGTTTAACTAGCTACTTACTATATAAATGTATAAGTATAGAGCTAGGAAGAAGGTAGTATAGAAACTTACTATATATATAATAATAGAACAAGAATATAGTACTAAGAGTATTTATTACTTCTCTTTACCTAGGAGGTAGCTCTCTTCTATTAAGTAAACTAGTAGGCTAACTTATTCTACTTAGGATTTCTACGCTGTCTGCTAAAGGAGAGTATAGGCTAGAGCTATTACTATTACCTAGGCTACTCTCTACCTTCTCTACTATAGGCAGATCTAGCTATCTATTATCTAGGCAGCCTATATTAGATCCTTCTACTTCTGTATTAGGCTTAAATACGTACAGGCCTAGCTCTTCTATATCTATAGAGTTTAGTGCAGCTAGCGTAGGTATTAGATATAGTAAATTTAGCTATTCTTCTCTAGGCAGCGTTATATATACTCTTCCTATTAGGTATACTTTATATATAGGCGTACTAGAGGTATAGCTTTCTAGAAATAGGCCTAAAGAAAAGAAAGATTTATCTTACTAGTTACTAAGGAGGCTATTCTTACGCTGTAGCACCTAGAGTAGTAGTAATAATAGTAGTATAGAGAGAGTAAAGCTAGGTAGAATCTAGAACCTAAATATAAGATTTCTCTCTCTTCTTTTACAGCAATTCTAGCTGCGTATAGCTTAATATCTTATGTGTATTAAGTTCTCTAGGCTATTCTCTGCCTTTCTTTTAGAAAAAGGCATAGTAATAGTAACTCTAGTTAGATAGTTAAATAACAGCAAAAATAGTGTAGAGCTAGGAGGTATAAGTTAGTAGAAAGAAGATAGGTAGAATAGTGTAAGAAAAGAGTGTAGAAGAGATAGTTTATATAGTAGATAGAAATTATCTACTTCTCCTATTACGCCTATTAAGTAAGCTCTTAGTACCTACTTTATAGTTTACTATAGTTACTAGTAAAGTAAAGTATAGGCTCTTAGAGTAAACACAGTATTAGAAATTAATAAGAACTAGGATATATATTATAGATACTCTAAGTGCTAATATTATTCTCTAATACTAAACTCTAGACTATCTTCTAAATAATTTTCTAGTAGTTCTTTATAATAATTTCTATAAAGGTTCTTGTTAAGACTCTTTAAAGAGTCTCTTTCTAAACGCTCTAGAAGACCTATAGAAAGAGGCTCTAAAAGACCTATAGAAAAAGTCTCTTAGGCTATTAAAAGAGTATCTTCTGTTAGATTCTATAGAAGGCTTCTTAGGTTCTCTTACAGAAGTAAGAAGCTTCTTTAGCTTACTAGCTAACTTCTTTAGCTTACTAGCTAACTTCTCTAGCTTACTAGCTAACTTCTCTAGCTTATTAGCTAACTCCTCTAGCTTACTAGCTAACTTCTCTAGCTTACTAGCTAACTTCTCTAGTTTACTAGCTAACTCTTCTAGCTTACTAGTAGGCTCCTCTAGCTTACTAGTAGGCTTCTTCTATATAATCTAGATAGTTTTAATCTTCTTATCTAGGTTACTAGCTACTATTACACTAAAGCTCTTCTAGGCTATATACTTATCTTATAGCAAGTATACGTATATAAATATAAGCTTTAAGCCCCTATTACCTCTAAGCAAGAACTTATTAATACTCTCTTTTATTACCTTAAATAGGCTGTGTAAGAATAGATATAGTTCTATAAAAGAGACTATAATTAGCTTCCTATAGCCTAGGGTACTAAAGTAGGAACTAAGAGTCTTCCTAAGCTTAGAGAAGCTAAGGTAGGTAGTAAGTACAAGAATAATTAGGTAATAGCCCTACTATAATAGCTAAGACTAGAAGTAGGCTTCTTAGACATGCTTTTAAAACTAGCCTAGAGCTTTATAGTAGGCAGAGCTTTTGTTATAGTTACCTAGGCTATACTTCTACTTTATATAACATACCTTAGCTATATTATAGTTAGAGTTACTAGGTTACTAAGGCTCTATATCTTTTATACTTTGTTTTATAAAATTCTAGAGAGTTATTTCTATCTTAACTAGCTTTATATAGGTAATAAAGGTCTAGAAGTATACCTAGGCTATACTCTTATTAACTACGCTAGTAATATAGTTAAGGTAGGCACAGAACTTATCTAATACTTTAGAAGAACTAGAAGAAGAAGAAGCTTTATTCTACTTTCTTTATAAGGCTTATATATAGCTTCTAGAGTCCTTACAGGCGTAGTCTTATATATATAAGATCTGCTACAGAGCCTATAGAGTAATAAAGCTGCGTAGCTAGGCTTATACTTTCTTTACAGGATCTAGCAGCTTTACGCGTATAGGTAGTAGTAGTAAATTACTAAAACTACTAGAGCCTAACCCTACTTATAATTCTAGCTAGCCTTAGTTTTACTTAGGATAGGTAGTATTAAGAGAATCTATATACTAACGCTTTCTAGTAGGTATCTCTGCCTTAACTATAGTAACCTTAGTAGTAACTTCTATAACTTTAGTAGTAACCTCTATAACCTCTTTCTCCTCTTTCTTTTCTTTCTTAATAGTAGCTACTTCTATAGCTACTTTTATAGCTACTTCTTTCTTTACTATAGCTACTTCTATAGCTACTTCTGCAGCTACTTCTTTCTTTACTACAGCTACTTCTATAATAACTTCTATAGCTACTTCTTTCTTAACTATAGCTACTTCTGTAGCTACTTTAGCCTTAGCCTCTTTCTTAACTATAATAACTTTCTACTTAATAGTAGTAACTTCTTAACTATCTTCTTCCTCTATAGTAGAGATATCTACTACTATATTTTCCTTTTCTTCCTCTTCTTCCTCTTCTTCCTCTTCTTTCTTTTCTCTTACTACTTTTTCTTCTTATTATATAGTAGTTTTATCTAGAATAGTAGTTATTACTCTAGAGAGCTACTCTTTTAATTTCTTCTCTTCTAGCTCTTTTATCTCTTCTTTCTGCTCTTTTATCTTCTCTCTCTACTCTTCTATCTCCTTTCTCTACTCTTCTACCTACTCTTCTATCTACTTTACCTACTTCTCTATCTTCTTTTTCTCTACTTCTAATTCTAGAGGTAGTGTATATTTTATAATCTAACTTTGTCCTATTACTATAATAGCCTTGTTATTATCTTTACCCTCTGTATTAGTATCCTTATTACTACTTTCTTTACTAGCTTCTTCTTTTATAGGTATCTTTAGATTTATTTTAATAATAACTCTTACTATACTACGCTAGAGGGTAGTAGGCAGCTGCTTATTATTAAATGCTAAAGAGGTACTTATAATCTTAACTAATTTACCTATATTAGACATAGTCTAGTAAGAGTAAGGTAAGCTTCTATATCTAGAGTTATTAACTATTACTACCTTACTAAGGTAGATTAGCCTTAGTAGAGTTCTAAGAGAGGTAACTTAGTTATTAAAGAATACTTCTTCTAGAAGGTATTACTTTAGAGTAAAAAGAAGCTTATTAAGCTAGCTATACTAGCAGATCTACTATAGTGCTAGTTCTAGATTATAGGCTATAAACAGCTAGTTACTATAGGCTAGTAAAGAGAGGCTATAGTATTCTACTAGCTTAGTAAAGTAGAACTAGTATATTATAAACTTAGTATTATATTATTTATCTAAGTAGAGAGAAGTATAGGCAAAGTAGCTAATATAGTTCTAATTAACTTTATAGAGGGTTATAACTAGGCTACAAAGCTAGGTTAAAGAAGTTATAGTAAAAGGTATAGATAAATAGAAAGTAAGTAGAAGTTATAGTAAACTATTAATCTTATTAGAAAAAGGTAGGTTATTAAGGGAATTTAGAATTTAGGTAGGAGTAGGGCTATAGCTCTATTTAATAAGTAAGGTAATATAATATGTTATCCTCTTATCTTACTTACTAAGGAATTAATAGAAGGAATATACTACCTTAAACCTAAAGTAGTTAGTATTTTATATATAGTTTTAAAGAAGGTTAGAAGAAGGCGTAGATTACTAGTATCTTACTAAATAATATTATATTACTCTTATTACTTTAAAGTAGCTAGAAAGGAGTTAAAGCTAAGAAATAATGTATAGCCTATGTAAGTTTAGATAGGCTAATTAGCTACATAAATCCTATTATAAGGTGTATAGATATTAGCTCTATTTATATAATTTTTTAAAGAGATTTCTATTCTTATACTAGTATATAATATATACTTATAATAAGAAAAGTATACACTAGAGTAGCTATAGGATTCTATTATATATCCTCCTAAATTAAGGCGCCTATTTTATAAGATATAGAAATCTAGTAACCTCCTTAAGAGAGAACTTCTGTAGGCTTAGGAGTAGCAGAAGCCTTCTTATTATCTCTACCTTAGGGTTATTAATAGTAGCTGTTATAGAGACAGCCCTAAGAGAACTTTACTTTTTAAACTAGAATTCTAGCTTAAGAAAAAGCTCTAGGGTAGCCTAAACGTAAAAGTAATAGCTATAATAATAAATAAAATACTATAGTAAATCCTCCTCTTTAATAACAGCACTATTAAGAGATAAGGTTATAACTCTATATAGATTAAGAGCTACCTTATTAAAGGCTTTTTATTATTTTTTATTTAGTCTATATATAAAGCTAATAGTATAGACTACTCTCTAGGTATTTATATATTAACGTATCTACGTATTACTACTAGAGTAGGCATACTTAATATTATTCTAAAGGGTATACATAGGTAGATTAGCTTTAGAGCTTTCTCTTATTAAGATTACCTTTTCTAAGACAGAAAGGAGGCTAGTAACTTCTCTTATCTATAAGTTTACTACTACACTAATCTCTATCTATATCTGTCTTATAATATTAAATACGTGTATAGCTTACTAGCCTACCTTAGGAAGTAGTTCTAGAGAGCTAAACGCAGTACTACGTATATAATTATTTATAATTAACTCTAGATGCCTTAATTACTTAGAAAGAGTAGGAAGAAAGGCCTATACAGCTATAGCCTTATTATTATCTTTAAATACTATAGTAGTTTAACAGATTTAGGATAGGCCTAGGCACTAGAGGTAAAGAATAGCTAGGATAAGGTTACTAAATATATAGAAGTTTATCCTTATAGAAAAGTTATGCTAGAAGAGTCTTATAATCCTTAGAGTATTCTAGTCTATAAGGAATTTAGTTGCGCTTATGTAGAGAGATTTCTAAGTATATAGTCTATCCTTTAGTAAACGCTGCAGCCTAGTAGCTGTTAAGTAAGTAATTTTCTAGATAGAAAGAATAACCTTAAATATATAGGCCCTATAGCTATTTATACTGTCTAGGCTATTATATCTATCTAGGAGATATTTCTAAGTTTCTTAGTACAGCTTATGTATAAGACAGTGTATTACTAGTATCTATATACTCTTATATCCTAGTAAGTCTATACTACCTATAAATATAAGATTAACCTCTAATTAAATAAGAGCAATCTCCTTCTATAATAGTATATTAGTAAATACTCTAAAGAAATAGTAGATAGCTAACTAACTACTTATAGTATATATATTAGGATACTTTACTAATTGCAAAGATAGCTTAGGGCTAAACTAGTTATTAGCTAGATATAAAATAGAGCTAAGATCTAAGAAAGGTAATCTTTGCCTAGGTAAACTATAACTACTTCTAGGATCTAGCGTAGATCTTATAGGTATTTAAGGAGGAATATATACTTAGGAAGGAACTAGCTTTAGTAGGCTTAAAGAAGCCTTATAACTCTTATTTATCTAGACTTATCCTTAAGAAGGCGTACCTAACTGTAGAGTTATAGTTATTTACCTCCTTTAGGTTAAAGTACAGCGTTACTAAGGAGTAGAATAATTCCTAGCTTAGAACTATTTTTTGCGTTAGGCTAGCAAAGTTCTAGAAGGCCTATAGCTTAGTATTTATTGCATTAGTAGAGGTATATATTGCTAATCTTTATAAGTTAAACTAGGAGAGCTTATTTAAAGTATAGTAGTTATAGAGAAAGGTCTCTATCTATAAGAACTTAAAAATGCTACTAGTAAAGACTTAGGTTAGCTACTCTTATACTAAAGTTATAATTATAGAATTCTTTATTCTATATATTATTATCTTTCGTAGTTATCCTTAGTTATAGAGATAGGAGAATTAGCATTTCTATCTATACTATTACTCTAGTATATAAGATTAACATTAATATTAGACTCTTCTAGTTAAGACTAGTTAGAGCCTAAGTAGTTACTAGAGGAATTATTATCTAACTAGTCTAAAAAGAAAGAGCCCTCTTAAAAAGAATAAAGAGTTAAGGATAAGGAGAGCTAGGTCTAGAAGATAATAGTAAGTAACTAGTATAAAACTTAGGGCTAGACTAACCCTTTAACTTTATAGAGTAATACTATTTATACTTCTAAAGAAATCTGCTATTAATATAGAGTAGTATAAAGACAAAGCAAGGAGAGAAGCTTTCTCTATAATAGTAAATAGAGACAGGTTAGCTATAGTTTAAATAGTAATAATAAGGAAAATAAAAAGAGGACGCAGAAAGTTATATAAACTTATTATATACAGGTATAGTCTACTAAGTAACGCTTAAATTAGTAAATTAGCTTTTAATTATCTACCTTAGTTTATTTATTATAGTTTATAAAACAAACAAAGAATATTAACAAATAGATATAAGTTAAAAGATAAGTTATAATAGTTAAGAAAGAAATACTACTATATAACTATATTACTATTAATTATAGACTTATAATATATAGTTAATAATAAGAAGATTGTAATCTAGGCTTTTAGAGTATTATAAGTAATATTTAAAGTTAATTAATAATTAATAAACTATTATAATTTAATCCTCTAGTTTAGAGGTTAGTATAAAATAATCCTACTAGAGCTTTGTCTAATATAGTTATTATATTATATAAAGAATAATATTTAAAGAAGTAACTTTAAGGTTATCTTATATTCTTTAAAATCTATATAGATCTAGATATTAATACTCTTATAAAACTAGTAATATTCTAATAAAGACATTACAAAAGAAGTTAGACTAAGTTATAGGTAAATAAAACAGTTTAATATACTATTTAGAAAGTATATAGGTTTATTTAGATAGGTAGATAATATATAAGATTAAGTAATTATATAGTTAGTATATAGTTACTAGAAACGCTTACTAGTAACTACGTATTAACTACCTCTACTTCTAGACTAGTTCTCCTACTAGTCTTCTAAGCCTACTAGTAGGCGTAGTTAGTGTATAGTTACTAAAAACACTTACTAGTAACTACGTATTAACTACCTCTACTTCTAGACTAGTTCTCCTACTAGTCTTCTAAGCCTACTAGCATGTTAGAGTTAGCAGATAGGTAGTAATACTTAAAAATAAAAGAGTTATATTTTATTATATAGAAAGAAGCGCATTGTTAGCCTCTATATAGCTACTTAATTTTTACTACTAGCTAAGGTAGAATATATAACTAGTATTACCTTCTATCTCTTTTTCTTTAGCTTAAGCTAG